GGAGCAGGAGTTCTTTAGAATGACTTCATACGTAAAGTAAAGCGCCGGAGAACGCTCTATGTGCAAGGCCCTCCACGACCTCCGTCGCTCCTCTCGTCCATCATGCGCTATCCCAGCCGCAGCATGAAATGTATACCAGCCCAAGGCCCGAATCCAAAGAAAGATCAACCAACACAGGGTGTACCAAATGATGCAAAGATGGCCGCAGAAGAAGAAGGTAAAGGGTAGGGAGGAGAGGGATATCCACGATTGCGTCAAGCATCGCGCATATCGACATCAGTGAAAAGGTGATGACCCACATTGTCAGAGCCGCCTTCAGCAGAAGGCTCGGCCATATTCCGATCGTCTTGATCTTCCATTTCCTCATCCTCATCGTCATCGCTGGAGCTAGCGAACCCGCTTAGTAGGGAATTACCACTGTTTAGCCCGAAAGCTCCGCCGGAGACACTTCCTTGGTTCATCATGTCAAAGCCCTGGAACCCGGAGCCTCCCACCGAGCCATTCAGGCCAGCGTCAGCAAGCGCCGATGATGTGTTCGCGCTCTGGCCGGAATTGAGCATGCCTTGGCGATGTCCAATCGACATGTCAGGGCGCACCCCTCCAAGAATGGCGTTGTCGCGCTCCCTGGTCTCAGAAAGCGTTTGCTCAACATAGTCTATCCACTCAGGGTTCAGCACATTCTCCATAACCGTAGGAGAGAGCAACTCGGGCGGGTGCCGTTCGCTGAATTTCACAACCTCTTCAGCAATCAACGTCAAGTGGCCCATGTATCCTAGTCGGATCTGTTTGGTTCGCTGCGCCTCATCACTGCGCTTTTGGCCTTCGATAATGCTCTGGGTGATTCGGCCAGTCTCAAAAACGTCAATGGCCAGCAGACGATTGTAGCCGCGGTCCATGGGACCGTTGAACACTTGTTGGACAACATCATAGACAACGTTGTGAAGGAAGTTGTTCCAGGGGAATCGGAAAAAGAAGTCCTTGAATAAATCTGTCAGAAATTGTCCATGACATAATTTGGATGCAGACTTACCAAAATAGTCGGTACCACCTTGTTTTCAACGAACATAATCTTGAGATAGTCACCAACAACAGGTTGCCCGTTAGAATCAATCTGAACATCTGGGTGCAGCTGTCGCGGCACATCACCGTCATTTGGCGCCGAGTCGGAAGCGGGTGGAACTGAGCTTGAAGCATCGCCGACCTGGCCAGCAGTATCAGGCGTCAAGGAGCTCTGTTGATTATTTGTTTGGTCTACGAGAGGAGCCGATTCCTGTTCGGCTTGGGAAGACGCCGTGGTCTGGTCTTCCATACCGTTGGAAGCCGCTTCTGCAGCTGGCTGGCCTTCCTTGGTGGTCTGTCCACCGCCCAGGCTAACTTCCGCTATACCTGACGCAGTAGCTGACACAGGATCGGAAGTAGGCGTATGTGCCCGAACCTGACTCGCAGGGTTTTCATCGTGTGAGCCGTCCTCCGATGCGCCATTTGAAGCATTTTCGGCTGTTTCTGTCGGGGTGTGCTGCGAGGGAGTTGCGGACTCCGGCTTGGACTCGGGGCTGCTGGTGTCCTTCACTTCAGCATCCTTCTCCTTGTCGACCAGAACACCGGATGCGCTAACGTCCTCGAAGCTTTCCTCGCCCGTATTCGCGACCTCAAGCACTCTAGAGCCTTCGGGGGAACCGTAGCCAATGACGGATCCATTGACAAAGTCCACCGTAGAGTCGTTCCCATCGAATGCCGATGTCTCTTCGCGGTGCGGGTTGAAGACACCTTCGCGCATGAGCCTCTCGCGCTCAGCATCACGCTGCCGTACGTAATCGTCACTCCCCGGCTCGTTCAGAAGGCCCATGTTACTGCAATGTAGCAGTTCGGCCATCAATTCGCATGTCTTGAATCTGTCAAAGCCCAGGGGCTCGATCTTGGCACCCCAAGCTGAGTTGAGCTTCCCCCTTTCTACACTTCTCACCTTGCCCCCGTCGTTCACAGTGTGTTTCGAGCTTTGGATCAGCGCCATGAAGTCCGGTATGTGTTTGGCAAAAAGCCGAAGCAAATTCCCGAGGTAGATCGGATCGTATGTGGTGGGGAGTGAGTCCGGACCATTGATATTCTCAGGATCGTAGTCGGAGTTGTTCTTCCGGATCACTTCAATGACGATACCAACACCGACTGTCAGAGGGTTTCCACCTTGCAGCATGGCCTTGATGAGACTTTCCACACACGGCACGGAGACCAACTGACGGGTGAGGCTGTTAGGGCCAATGCAGGATTGGTCATTCTGTGTTGCGTTCGCGGATATGGTGATGATAGCTTTGAGGAAATCCCCAGCCGAGGTCTGCACCGAGGCAGGGTGATCCGGGGAAAGAAATGAGAGGAGCGTGGGTATGAGGTTCTGGGTTTTCAGCCACTGCGGACGTTAATCAGCATAAATCACTCACAAGCGAAAACGTTCACCCTCGACTTACATCGACAATGCCATGGCCCCCTTCTACCTTCTCCAAGCTGATTATTTTGAGTAAAAGGTCCATGACCATGGGGTTGTCCACGTGCTGCAGAATTGCCGGTACAATTCCCTCCATTGACTTAAATAGCTCCAGCATTTCACTGGTTTTCTTGTCGAATAGAGTTTCGTTCACTTTCGTAAAGTAACTCGCCTGAGCAGAGTCCAGAGGGGAGGAGCGCCGCAAGAACCCCCAGAAATCTCGTAAGTTGTCGGGATTGAGCAGAATGGACTCCACAATCGACCATATCTCCGACGACAGGATTTCGCATGCGACGTAGGCTCGCTTCATGCGATCCTTTTCCGCCCGCTCCAGGTCTTCGGGGTCCAGAATATCCTTAAGGGGGTCACCCCCCTTGGCCTCTTCCGTTGCATCATCATCTCTGTTCGTCTGCGCATTGTTCTCGTGATCGTCATCATCTTCGTCGTCTTCATTCACCAGACTAGGCGCAGTGACATAATCCATGAGTCGTTTAAGAACATTATCTTCTCGTAAGAATTCTATGAGCTTCGTATTATTTTGTTTGAGCTCTTGGATGAGCTCAGACTCATCCAACAGCTCTTCAAGGGTGACATCGGGCTTGTCTAGCAGGGTATCGATGGCGGAGATACTCGCATATCCTCCGAAACGCCAAAACATGATGAATTATATAACTGGGCGAAAAGAGTCATGGAAAGGAAGCACAGTAGCACGGGCCCTTTTGATCGCAGGTCGTCGCCGGAACGTCGTTACGGTGAGCCGAATATGATACAAAACCGTGGGTAAGCGGAGGTGGTCTAGTATATGATCCTCATGCAAAGTGTTGAGTATGCAATGGTTACTCGGTGAAAAGTCATATATCGAAACAGACTTCGGAAGGACTGAGTCGTTTTGAGATCGAAACGTCCCGAGACACAAGACAGGAGAGGAGAACGATAGGCAAGATAAACCGGGTCTGAGCGGCCAAGCGCTACATGCGCAAAATAGACAAAGTTAGTAAGGTTGCATGCGCCTCAAGCGTCATAGAGAAAGATCGGTGAATATGGGCTGAAGAAATATCAGGGGCGGGCTTCTCAGGCAGTCGGGGAAGGAGTCAGGTCTCGAAGAGCCTATGAGGGCGGCAAACGACAGGCTTTACGGGATGACAGCAGAAGCAGCAGCAGTACAGAGTGCATTGCCATAAAATCCAAAAAGGGCAAGGAAGGAGGGAGGAGGTCCAGACCACGTACCTTTCACGACCTGAGAGAGAGTGAGTGACAAAAGACGAAACAAGAGCAAGGTCCGTTGTTTGGGAGGGCTGAAGCGACCCACGGGCGATGTAATCACTTTGTCAGCCCGGCACTGCACAGGCGAAACCAGTCCGTCAGATGGGGGGAAGGAGGAAGGATAAATTGAGGGTCAACAACCTAAAGGCTTAAAGTGAGGATCACAGGCTGACAATTCGCAGGATCACGTTGACTTGTGGTGCGCTGGCGGGAGTGTCTGGATCGGCCGGCAAGTCTGACTGAATGATCCCTGGACGGTGACGATTGAACAAGCAGGGCGGAAATACCCAACAAGCCCGAGGAGCGACGGCGGGGAACCAAAACCAGATACGCGAGGGAGAGAGGGGGGCAATAATGGATGATTGTGAAAGGACCACGAGTGGATGGTTGGTTACTTAGTTAGTTAATTTCAGACGCTTAATAATCCGGGGCGAGAACGGTAAGTAAGTATTGTAGTTATACAGTTTCCAATCGGTTATTCCTCCTTCTAGAAGTCCAATGGTTGTTTGTGGTTGATGAGGCTGTCCTCCAGACGTTCGCGTAACACTCCGGAATCTTCAAGACGCACGAGTCGTTATTACCTACTCCTTGCAGGTTTGGTGCAAAGACCGGCAAAGTATCAGGTACCGCACTGGCCTTATCCGCTTGTGCACAGATACAAGTACCGGGTACTCTGTCTGTTTCGTTTCACCGGAACTGGGGGGGAGGCGCAACTGGGCGGTATCTTACCGTCACTCATCTTACATTATAACTTGTTCTTATCACCAATAAAATACTATACACCTTTATGAATTCATGGTCTCCAAGAGGTTAATCTCAGCCAGACCATGTTAACAGACACATAAATATTCACCCGGGGCCTCGGGTGAACAAGCGTGTGCTTAGGCTAGACTCGGGGGCCAGTAAGCAGATCAGCCTTGCAGTCACTAACTGAAGATAATACCCCATACTCCGTCACTCTGATTCATTTGCCTCGGATCACGAGTCAAGTCTGGATCTGATCATCAGAACAATTCCAGTTATAGCCTGGAATATAACTAGTCTACAGCAGAACAATCATATCATATCTGTCATCTAATTCACTGGCCAACATCACACTGACAAATTATCCAGAACAGCACATAACCGTATCTTGTGCATAATACCACATCTTACTGTAATATACCCCATCACGTGGGGGCAATTCTAGGTAGCAGCCTAAGCTTGATAACATTCACCCCGCTGTTCTATCCTAATACTATGGTATTATAATACCTGGTCTACTCATCTCGCGCTCACTATTCAAATATACTGAAATCCATCAAGCCTTTTCTCGCGCAAACCCCCCAACTCACAGGACCACCTGACACAGCTCTATACCCCGACCGGTATCTCCAAGGCGGCGAGGCGAGGCCGCGGCCGCTAAGGACCGACCAGACCATATCCATCTATCTACCCCCCCAATTCAGGGCGCCTGTTCAAGACCCTCAAGCTTGCCACAAGAAGCTCATCTCCAATCCTCTCTCACACCCAACCAGCCAAAATGAACCGGCTATTCGGTACGAAGAACACGGCACCCAAGCCAACCCTAGATGGGGCTATAACCAATGTACGTTTTCCCCTTCCCATCACCAACCAGTCATCCATCCATCCATCATTGTTGTTGTTGCCCAACTCTCCGAATCCATCCATCTCGTCCCCTTTATCCGCCCGAAACCCCGCATGATCAACCATTAACCCCCCATCGTAACAGGTGGAAACCCGCATCTCCAGCATTGACGTCAAGCTTGCGGCACTCAACTCAGAACTATCAACCTATCAAACGAAGATCTCGAAGATGCGCGACGGGCCAGGAAAAACCGCGTTACGGCAGAAGGCACTCAAGGTACTCCAGCGACGGAAACAGTACGAAGCGCAGCGGGATCAGCTATCGCAGCAGTCGTGGAATATGGAGCAAGCGGGTATGATGCAGGATAACTTGAAGAATGTGATGACGACGGTGGATGCGATGAAGACGACCACCAAGACGCTCAAGAAGCAGTATGGGCAGATTGATATTGATAAGATTGAGCGGTTGCAGGATGAGATGGCGGATTTGATGGACGTGGGGAATGAGATTCAGGAAAGTATATCGAGGGCGTATGATGTTCCTGAGGATGTGGATGAGGCGGAACTGGATGCTGAGTTGGAGGCGCTGGGTGAGGAGACGTTGATGGAGAGCTCCATGGCTGATAGTGCAATGCCGAGTTTCTTGCAGGATGAGGTGGCGCCGCCGCAGTTTATTGATGAGCCGCCGGAGCAGACGAAGGTTAAGGAGCCTGCTAGTGGGTTGGGTTAGGATTACATACCTACGTGGTTTACTATGAGAATAGCGGTTTAGGAGTTATGATCATGGTGGCATCGGAGTTGGGATTTTTCTTGTTATCTTTTCCTTTCCCTCAAATTAATCGATTAAGCTGTGTTCATTCTACGAAGTTTTATTGTGTATGTTCTGCTTCTCACTTTCTTCCCCTCTGCGTGTCTGCATCTTCGGGTGTATCATACCGTACCTCCACCCTTCTGACCTACACGGCTTGCACATTCCAGCGACACTTCCTTTCGGAGAGATGCCGTCCCCTCCAGTTCAGCGTTCCAGATGTTTCACGCTCTAGGCCTTGCCGAGTCCAATCAGGACGAGCAGGGCAACGTTCATGACCGCAATGATCACCCAAACAATGACAGCGATGGCAGTAACAAACCAGTTGTTTCTCATCTTAACTCCGTCGGCCGAGGCATTCTCACCGGAGAAGTTTCTATCCGTAGGGACGGTCATGTAACGGTTGCGGCACGTAAAGTAAACCAGAGGAGCGGTGACAAACGGCAGGATGACACTCAAAACCACTTGGCTGGCGTTTAGAGTCTTGTTCAATCCCTCCTTGCCGACAGCAGCTGCAATGATTATGCTAGGGATGATACTGATAGACCGCGTGACCAGTCGCCGGAGCCAAGGTCTGATACTCCAGTTCAGCATTCCCTCGCTGACCATTTGTCCAGCCATGGTACAGACGATTCCGGCGGAGATACCTGAGAGGAGCAGGGCCAATGCGAAGATCAGACCTGCAGCCGGGGCAATGGAGCTGGAGAGAAGATCGTAAATGCCAAAGAGGTCTGCTTCATCAGCTCCCGATGTGCCGTACAAGGAAGCACCAGCAACGATGAGAATGGCGCTGTTGACGAACAGGGCAAATGTAAAGAGGGACAACGTAAGCTCAATGACGGAGTACTTCAGACATCCCCGAATGGCTTGGATGGACGGCCTGTATTCCACTTCTCCGTTGGTGCTTCCAAGGCAGACGGAGGGATCGACGTAGCCTTGGGTAACATCGAATTCCTTCAGTCGCGATTGGACAACTCCACTGCCAAGAAACATGGAGTGAGGCATCACCGTAGCACCGAGGATACCACAGCTTTGATACAGACTGTTAGACAGTAAGTTAGTAAGTTCAATGTCACAGTCATATACGAAGCGGGCTACTCACCCATTGGACTGCACGATGGCAGACGAAGGCAAGTAGCCCCGGAAAACAGCTCCGACCGACTGTTCTTTAATGAGAGCGAGTTGAATGCAAAAGCAAATCACCACTCCCAGGACCAACAGCATGACAAAGAACTCGAAGAGACGCAGTCCCCACATGGCGCCATTCGGTCTATAGAATATCAAGATGAAGAGAACATCGGCTAGTGTGATTGCGCATCCCGCCACCAGAGGGATTTTCAGGAGAAGGTTGAGCGAGATGGCAGATCCGACAACCTAAGGAACCAGGTTAGCACCAGCATCAGAAAGCAGGGGAGGGGAATTAGCTGCTTACTTCTGCGATATCAGTTGCCACGATGGCGGCCTCCGCAAAAGCATACAGGATGTAGTTCAACCACTTGGGCAGATGCTCCCTGCAGTTTTCCGCCAGGTTGAGCCCGGTCACAGTGCCAAGCTTAATACACAGCGACTGTAGAAAGATAGCAAAAAGGTTAGACACTAGGACGATGAAGAGCAGAGCATAGCGAAACTCCGCGCCTGCAGCGACATCGGTGGAGTAATTTCCCGGATCAATGTAAGCTACCGCGATCAGGAATCCAGGACCCACGAAGCGACCAAACTTCTTGATACTTTGAGCGAGACGGAGAAAGAAAGAAAAAGTTGATGTATTGAAAGGACGGCGAGGTGATTCGCTGCTCGTCCTGGGAGATTGGTCCCCAGGAGCGGCAGCAATCACTTCGCCGGGGGTCTTCTTCTCCATCTCCGGCTCGTTTCCATCTAGGCTATTTGGTCTATGATCCATCGCTGCGATTCCTTCACCTGCAGCTCCCCCCATACCGCCTGCGTGTCTCCGATGCACCTTCGAGTTCGCAATGCCGTTGAAATCGCTTCGAGTGGTAATGTCGGCATTCAGCGCCGGCGGATTCTGGTTCCATCCCGGGTGCTCGAGGGTGTCATCGGTGCGCGAAGGACAATTCATGGCGGACTGAGAAGCTCTTCAGTGACACGATTTGGAGATATTAGCAATTGCAGCTATTCCGATAACCACGAGGTCGGAGTATTTAGGCAACGCCACGTTCGGGACGTCAGTCTAGGATTCAAGGACCCTGCGGGGAAGCCAGCCCGAAACTGCCCGATTGCGGTAGTCGCTGTAGACACGTCCACTGCGGAACAGGGAAGAGGGTCGGAAGAAATAGATAGATCGACTGCTAAGTGTTCAAATGCAGTTGTTACGATGGAAATAGGTCCAGAAGATGAAATCAGTGACATTCACTCCAGTCGGAAGCAGGAGAGGGAAGAGGAGGGGGAGATTCAGAATTTTGGTAGCATGACGGCATGCGGTTCTGAGGCTGTTCGCGGTGAAGTGTGGCCAACTGGGCCGCCCAGACCGACTAAAAACATCAATTCTAGGCAACATTGTGTTTCTCGTGGATTCGGTGACACATTGAATTTCAGCGAAAACCGGAGTCTGCATGGATACCCCATGGGTACCGGAAAGAAAGGTTTCAATGGGTCTAGAAGATAGACACATTGAATCGAAGGTAGAGGTGGTTTGGCAGCCAAGTCATAGATTCCTGAAGTCCCGTGATGCGCCTTGTCCTCTCCTTGCTGCAGCTGATCGATCTGCTTGGCCTTGTCTTCCCCTCTGATTCGACCACTTCCACGGGATCTAAGCGCCTAAATTGGCGTCTTTGTAGTACATCAACGGCATGTTTTCCTTGATAATGGGCACGTTGTACTGTGGAAATTACACATAGGGCCGAAATCTGGGACCGCGAGATTCTGGTGCTTCCGTGCGGCTGCTGCCGCGTCGGCAATCAATGGGACTAAGATCTTTGTTTCGATATCGGACCATCCTTTGCGAATGGATCCGGACCGTTGTGGCTTCAGGGTAACATCGTGGAAAGCGCCATTCCAATTCACTTTAAATCGCGCAACAAGTTTTGAGGGGTTCACCAACCCTTGAGCCAAGTGTCTAGATCCTATGCCAGGATGGCTTCAGGGGTTTCTTCCCAGCGCTATGCTACCGAATTCACAAGATAGGCGACAAGATACCTCGGCCAGCATGTTGACTGGCCTCCGAACAATTTCTTGGTATACCAATTGCGGGTCAGAGAACGCGTAATGGCAATCAGAAAAAGACGCACTTTCCAAGACAAAACTCCAGTGGTGATCCTCTCAAAGGCTATTTATTGCTAGAGCTCCCCAAATTGATGTCCATTGCACGACAACCATAACTCTATGCACGATGGCTAGAGGGACAGTCATGGCTTTGGAGGTGATTCGACGGTGTACCAGGTACCTTGAAAGCCACGCAAGATGCACGCTATTCCCCAGATCAACAGCATAGTTGGCATTGAGGAATCCACCTAAGTTCTGCATCCACAACCTACATCGAGTGGAATCTGCTTCTACAACTGGCTGTTGTATCGATAGGTCTAAAGCGAAGACAGTTCATGCTGGATGTTTGTGTTCATTGTGCTAGTCAACTGATATAGCCCTTGTGGCCAATGAAGTCAAATATTCAATCTGCGTTCAACTTTGATCCTCTAGATATCGGTATATCAAAGTTGACTGCCCACCCAGGTCTCCCAGCAATACTTAGGGCATCCTTCAAGGGCCTCTAAATATTGATCCCTGCTGTAGGTTAACCTGAGCAAGTAATCTCTAAAAATAGCACAAGACCGTCTGTCAGTGCTTGGAAGTTTAAACGGCTATCAGACGACTCGGATCGAGAGTCCTGTAGACATTGTGTAGCATCAAGCAAATGGTCAGTAACAACGTGTGTCCTACACGTCTCACAGACTTCAGATGTCTTCTTGGATATCCTGGTCATTTTCCCGTATGGGACTAATCACTTGATTCGAATCTGATTCATTGTGAGTTGGGTATTGTTTGTTCACACCAAGAAGTTGCTTTTTAGCTATCGCAAGTCGCACAAATTGTTTCAGATCTTCCGAGCGATACCCCTTTTCTCATGTTGCTGTTCTTAGACTCGAGAAACGGTCTTAACTCCCAAGAATCTGTGACAGACCACTAAATGGCTACCTAGAGCAGTGAGGAGATCGTCTTCTATTTCCTAAATCGAGTAAGATATAGGGGCAATGTTCACCCCTTACCTGTTGTTCACATCTTTTGTTATCGGCCAGAGCAGTAGAGGCTTCCATAATGATTAGCGTGGGGATGCAAAAGCAAAGAGAGCAACAAGTTGTTAGTCAAGTATATACTGGTGAGAAGCAGAGCGTAATTTGATAAAGAGAGAGCATTGTCATTGTGGTAGTAGTCTAGACTGGAAGTAACTACATCATGCGCCGGACTAGTCCCGATTTGGCATGCCAACAGATCTGGAGATCAAGAGCCCATCGTGTTGACATCCAACAGTGGATACGACTATGAGGAAAAGAAGAGGAACAGAAACCCACACCAACTATTACTGAGCACAATGATGACAGCATTATATTTGAACAAATATACAACTCTGCCCATATTCCTGGTTATCCAATGACATTATATATGACCTCTCACCCACTCCGACCCAAGCAGATTGTGATGGTCCATTCAATAGCCGGTTCCATGCCGGCTATTCCTCCACTATGACATCGACCCCAATTTCCATCGCGACGGGCCCCAGCTCACTATGACGGGTGATCGAATATGCTTTCTGGACGGGCTGGACACGGAGGATGATGGAAGTGATATGATTGCCCGATCAATTAACTGCCCGATTGATAGATAGACGATCATGACGGGGTGATGCACTGTCCGGCGCGACCGGAGGCGCGGTTGCCCCCAGCAACCTCCCTGCCCGCACAGTGTTTACACCCTCCGCTTCACTGCGGTGCACCCATCTCCAGCCGTTTGGCAACGGCGTTGGCAGACTAGGCTATGCAGTGGGGGAATGCTTACGGCTCCTGCCCGTCTTAGACCTTTGAAGGGCTTCAAA